TCACAAGGCCAAGTGCCATCAGTGGGTCAGAAAAGTATGTTGAGAACAGAATGCTTTCTATCGTCATGTAGTTCAAGTACAGCCTTTGTCAAGAGGGCCTCCCTGGCTTCCCCTGAGACTCTCTAGCAATGAACTCTTCCACATGCCAAAACTAAAAGACTTTCTACTGGGTGACTAGAGGTAGGGCCCATTTCTATCTGGTTCGTTGCTCCATTCTCACCACAGTGCCTGGCATAACTTAGACATTACATAAGCATTTAATGAAGTAACGTGGAGTTGCTATTGCTAATCGTGAGAATACTCTATAGAATGAGGCCTGTGTCCTTGAGCACAATGGTTCCTCTCCCCTGAGACCCTCTTCTTCTTGCCATCCTTTCCCCTGCCCCATGATGGACCATGAGGAGGCATGGCTGAGGCTCCATGTCTGTCACCATTGCCACAGGCCTACCGTGAAATGCTAAGGACACTCTGCCCTCACCAAGGCACCCAAAGCAGCGTGCAAACCCAGCAATTAAGAGGTCCAGACGGTGACCACTGTCCCCAGGCTCCATGTGGGCTCTCGCTCCACCGTGTGTCCTGAAATCTGCCTAAGTCACCCCTGTCTTTATCTACTTGCTGACTCAGAGATGCTTCCCCACCCTGATGGGGCTCAGGGACTTCAAACCAGACCTCACCTCTGGTTGAGCCATGGCCGCTGGGCCTGCGTGTCCGGAGCCTGTGCTCCGCAACAGGAGAGACCACAACAGTAAGAGGCCCGCGTACCGCAAAAAAAAAGAAAAAAAAATACACACTGATGTGCAGATGTTGCTGTTCCACCTTTCTGAGTTATGCATCCTGTTTACGCAGTGCTTTCCGTGGGATCCTTTGGGGAGAGGAGCGAGAACTTCAGGAGAAAGGAAAATCTCTCTCAGTTTATTTAAGTGCACTGAAAAAATGAAATACAATCTGTTGAGTCTGTGAAAGCCCGCACCATCTGGTAAAATGCAGAGTGATGCTTCCCAGGAGGCAACATCTGTGGGTCAGGTAGGGTGGCACGCTGCTCCCCTCACCAGGGAAGACACAGAGCTCCACACGATGACCTTGCCAAGGCACATGCCTCTCTGTGGACAGCCACCTGTCCAGGGAGGTGGGGTCCCGAAAACTGGGCTGGGCTTGGCAGGACACTATGCTGTGTGATAGAAAGAACATTGCTGGGGGTCTGAGAGCTGGGCTTGCCTCTAGCTAGCTGAGTGGCTGTGTGATCCTGGTCAAGTCATTTCCCCTCTCTGGGCCTCAGTTTCCATGTTTGTAAGATGTGTAGGAGGTTGGGGGTGGGTAGGGATATATTGGGAGTATGGGATTAACAGATGCACACTACCATATATAAAATAGATAAACAACACGATTTACTCTATAGCACAGGGAACTATATTCACTATTCTGTAATAAACTATAATGGAAAAGCATCGAAAAAAGTATACAAATATATACATATGAATATATGTATAACCAAATCACTTTGCTGTAACCTGAAACTAACACAATTTTATAAATCAACTATACTTCAATTTTTTAAAATGTGCAGTAGGTTGCAAGATCTCCCTCCAGGTTGATTGGGGTGGTGCAGCGGGAGTGTGGGCTTCAGGGCTGGCAAACCCTGATGACGGGTCCCCTTACTAGCTGGTGTGATTCTAGGCTCGCTGAGCTTCAAGTTTCTTATCTGTAAACTGGAATCGTGATCGTATTCACCACATTGATGAGTAACTAAGAAAAAGCATTGAAGTATTTAATTCAGGTCTGACACTCACTCAGTGCCCAATAAAATGTTCCAAGGAAACTAAGAATAAAGGTCTGTCAAAATTATAATTCAAAAATATACATGCACCGCTATGTTCATAGCAGCACTATTTACAATAGCCAAGATATAGAAACAACCTAAACGTCCATTGACAGATGAATGGATAAAGAAGATGTGGTACGTATATATAATGGAATGTTACTCAGCCATAAAAAAGAATGAAATAATGCCATTTGCAGCAACATGGATGGACCTAGAGATTATCGTACTAGGTGAAGTCCGAAAGAGAAAGACAAATACCATATGATATCACTTATATGTGGAATCTGAAATATGACACAAATGAACTTATTTACAGACTCACAGACATAGAAAACAGACTTGCAGTGGCCAAGGAGTAAGGGAGGTGTGGAGGAGGGATAGAGTGGGAGCTTGGGGTTAGCAGATGTGAGCTATTACCTATAGAAAGGATAAACAACAAGGTCCTACTGTATAGCACAGGGAACTATTTTCAATACCCTGTGACAAACCATAATGGAAAAGAATATAAAAAAGCGTGTAGGGGCTTCCCTGGTGGCACAGTGGTTGAGAGTCCGCCTGCCGATGCAGGTGGCACGGGTTCGTGCCCCGGTCCGGGAAGATCCCACATGCCGCGGAGCGGCTGGGCCCGTGAGTCACGGCCACTGAGCCGGCGCGTCCGGAGCCTGTGCTCCACAACGGGAGAGGCCACAACAGTGAGAGGCCCGCGTACCACAAAAAAAAAAAGGAACCTCAAAGGGTGGAGTTCTGAGCCCTGTCAGCCCTGCCCTGATTCCCCCATGCTCAGGCCTGCGGCTCTGTGTGGGCCCTGTACTGGGCCCTGCTAGATTGTGTTGGCTGCTCTGGCTTGAGCTAGAAGTCAGGAGCCCTGGGCGCTCAGCCTGCGTCTCGCTGGCCACCTGAAATTTTGGGAACCAACACATTCCCTGTGAGCCCTAGTCACCAGCTGTCGTCATGCTGGACAAATCCTGGTGTCTGAGCCAACTCACTCATGGGGCAGAGCAGCTGTTGCCAGGTTGCATTATTCTGGGGAGTCCTAGGCAGATGAACTTGGTCCAAAGACTACATATCTCCCATTCCCCAGCCACCCCCAAATCTCTACCTGCTACCACCTTGATAGAGTTCTTCTTTCAAATACCTATGGAGGGTGATAACCTTTAAGGCTTTGTTAGTCGTTAAAACATTAGTGTGAATTAGCTAATCAGATAAGTAAAATGGACATCAAGTAAGTCTCAAGGATTATAGGAGAACAAGTAATATTGATGAGAGGTGGGGGGCATGAACAAGAGGCTGGAGGAACAGGCTCATGCGAGCATTGGGTAATGCCCGGAAGCATCTCACGGAGGCACTGGGTAGAAGAAAAGGCAGTTATAAACATGGCACGCTACCAGGCAAAAGCCCCAAGAAAAACGCATTAATAACGTAGTCGACGCTGCCCACGCTTCCCCTTGATGAGCATAGCTGCAGGGTGATCGTAAATTAAGAAACCGGAATCTCCACTCCCACCTCCCACCCCGCCACATCTCAGTCACTGCAGGTCCCAGAGGCCTTTCCCAGGGCGAGCTCCTCACAGGGCTAAGCAGAGCATCTGCTCTAAGGATACAGATGTGTCACACAGCCAGCTTTCAGCTGCAAACCCATGGGCATCTGTTCCAAGGCTGCAGGGAGAACTGGCTAGGTTAAACATTTTCAAAGAAGTACATCGGTTTCCAATATGGTACCTTCCTGAGGGAGTTTCATGTGTCATTTTAACTGTAGATGTTTGTAGTGGCTGACTCTGAAACGCAGCCCCTAGGTGACATGAGGCCCTGATATACCGAATTCAGAAGTCCAATGATCCCAGACAAATGGCAGGTAATACACACACCCACTGTCCATTAAACCCATTTACGACTGCCGGGTCAGTGCTGTGCCAGGTGGGAGCCCACACACACTTGGTCCCCTGCACCGAGCATACTTTGGACTCCCTGGCTCTTGTTTCCTGGTATCAGGAAGCCCCTGACCTTCCTCCTCCCCTGAGTAGCTGAGCCCTGCCCCTCTGTGGGACGTAAGGATGCAGAGAACACTGCTGGCAGCACCTGAGCTTCAGTGGGAAGTCCGTGGCGGCCCAGTTATCCTCCCAGCTGGGCCATCCTGTCTTCTGGGCCAGCCTTGCGGGCTCACACAGCTCCGCCCTCCACAAAGCTGTTGGTGTGATTCTCCCAAGACACAAATCTGTCTATGGCACTCCCACGGCCTCAGGATATCCTTAGCCTGGAATCACAGTGGTAGCAGAAATAATAACAGCTCTAACAATAACGACAGGGTTATAGCTAACGAGGAGTGAGCTCCGCTCACCGCGTGCCAAGCATGCTGCCCCAAGTGCAGGTGCTGTCTCTTATTCAATTCCCACAACAGCTGGGAGGGCAAGTGGCAGAGAAGGGGGTGGAGAGTCGGAAAGGTGAGGTCACTGGTCACAGTCACAAGGCTAGCAAGCCAGGCTGCCACCAGGCATCAGGTTCAGGTTCTGCTGATTTCAAAACCCGTGTTCTCAACTGCTATACCATTTGGCCTAAACGAATGGTTGGAAAAAAGCGTGGTGAGTGCAAAGTGACTCATACTCTTTCTCGCGGGGTCAGGACCTGAACTTTCCCCGTCACAGCTCTGATCACACTGCATCCCAGTTGTCTGTCGATGTGTTGGGTCTGAGCTCCTCCAGGTCAGAGACTGTGCTGATTCACGTTTACGTCGCCGGCACCCAGCAGGGGTCTTGGCACCCGACTGGTGCTCAATAAATGGCTGACAGGGTAACGGATGGATGAGCGCGTGAATGAATCCATCGATCCGAATCCAACCCTGGCCTTCTCCAGGACCCTTGTCTGCTTATCGAAACCCCTAGGGTGATCTCATTTCTCTAAATTCCTCCAGCACTTTTTTCTTGTATAATAGTTAATTGCACTCTGTCCTCCCACATGCAATACTTTTGTCTGTAAGTTACTGATGCCTCTGCAAGCCGACGGTAAGCAACACGGGCAAGGATGGCATTTAACCCTTCTTTTCCCGAGTCACCTAGCTCGGGCTGAGCACCTAGCTCTGGGTAAGTACGCCGAGTAGTTCATGCTGACCCAGGAGCAGAAAATAGAACGTGAGGACACCCACCCTGGGAGGAATGACCCTTTGTTCCTTCTGTCCCCATCCCCTGCAGGAGCCTCTTCTGGCATCATCGACCTCTTGCCGTCCCCCAGCGCCGCCACCAACTGGACCGCAGGACTGCTGGTGGACAGCAGCGAGATGATCTTCAAGTTCGACGGCAGGCAGGGTGCCAAGATTCCTGACGGGGTTGTACCCAAGAACCTGACGGATCAGTTCACTATCACCATGTGGATGAAGCATGGCCCCAGCCCTGGTGTGAGAGCTGAGAAGGAAACCATCCTCTGCAACTCAGATAAAACGGGTGAGTCTTGCATTTCCTCCTGGCATCTGCCCCCTCTGTCCCAGCTGGTCCGGCACGGCCACGGCCACCAAGGGTGGGGGAGAAAAGCGGGAGTGTGACGGGGGCCCTGGGAAAATATTCTGGTCTCTGTTTTTCTGGCTGATGATTTCCTCGCCTTGGGGTAGAGCAGGACCAGGAAAGGGAGGCAGGGTACAGACACAAAGAGTCAAAAAGCTGGGATTCGTGGTTTTCAGACTGGGTTCTTCAGAACCCCAGTGTCCCCAGAAGTAACTTAGGGCTGCTATATGAGGTGGGGTTGGGGGAGGAGGCTTCATCCTTACTTCAAGCAAAGCAGCTCTACCTTCACGGTATTATATCAATATATAGACAGATTTCCAGAAGTTTATTTTCAATGGAAGGGTCCTGCTAATTTACAACAGCAGTTTGAAAATCACTGCTGTGCATGACGATGATAGCTAAGCTTTGCTAGGCAGTTTTCATCTTGCGGAGCCTGTGTAAGGCAGTTCACAGCTTGGTGGTTAAAAACACTCTACCACCATGGGCTTCCCTGGTGGCGCAGTGGTTGGGAGTCCGCCTGCCGATGCAGGGGACACGGGTTCGTGCCCCGATCCGGGAAGATCCCACATGCCGCGGAGAGGCTGGGCCCGTGAGCCATGGCCGCTGAGCCTGCGCGTCCGGAGCCTGTGCTCCGCAATGGGAGGGGCCACAACAGTGAGAGGCCCGCGTACCGCAAAAAAAAACCACTCCACCACTTATTGGCTGTGTGATCTCGGGCAAGTGGGTTAACCTCTCTGTGCCTCACTTTCTTAGTCTATAAAATGGGCATTATAGTATTATCTACCTCATAGGGTTTTTACCAGCATTAAATGACATTGTATGTATAGTGCAATGGAACAGCACCTGACGCACCGGAAGTCTAATCTGTGTTAGCTCTTCCTATTCTAAACAGTGCCTCACATCTCTACAAACAATTTTACAAAAGCATTATTGTGTTTCCTGTTTTAAGGATAAGGAAACATCCCTGAGACTTTAAGTAACTTGTCCCAAGTTATTCAGCTGGTAAGTATCAGAACTGGAATGTAAGCTTAGATCTAGCTAACTCCATCGCTATGCTCTGGTCACCACACCCCACATGCAAACACACACACACACACACCACCCCACATGCAAACACACACACACACACACACAAATACTCTGATATCTTATGAAAATGTTATGTCTATCTTAAATTATAAGTCCACCTTTTCCCATTTCAAATGCTCCTCTTGTTAAAATACCCCAAATAAATAACTACTCTACACTACAGCTGATAGTGCAGTGAGAAGACAGGATAGAAGAATGGCTGACCGTTCAGCTTTGCTGCTCAACAGCCAGAGTTCCCATGGCAGCTTTTCCACTACTTAAGGAAAATTGAGGAGTTGCTAATCTCACTGAGCCTTAGTCTCCCCGTATGTAGAATGGGGAAAATAAACATGAAATAAGGTATGAAATCCCTTAGCAGCTTCAGATAAAAAATCTGTGCTCGACTAATTAACCTGATGTTGTTATTGTCATAATCATTATTATTTCTAGTTTTATTCCACATTATACAACTACCAGGACCCCACATTTCCTGTTTCAATCAATATTTGTGGTAAAAGCCAATGTATTTTCTAGATACAGAAACGGAAGCGGGGGGAGTTGCCCAGCTTTTCCCAGTCATATGGTGACTCTGTGTCAGAGCCAGTGCCAAGGATTTGTTTTCCTGGTCCTTCGTACAGGAAGGACGCTGTAGACACGCTTAAGGTGGCACTGAGGTTTGGGCCTGGGTCCAGAGCTCAGCCCAGGACCGCAGGAATCAGCCTGGGGCCCCATCTTCGCAGTGTCTGGTGGGCTGTCCCCTCCTTGATCCAGGGCCAGCATCCAGGAGACAATGGCTTAGGAGTACACAGATGTATGCAAAGTAGCCCTGGCTGGAGTTAGCGCCCACACACATAGAGTCCTTTCTGAAATGTATCAAACACCCCTGGGAGGCAGGCCTGACACATATAGACATCTGGCTTACACAGGAGGAAATTAGAATATGAAAGGTTGAGCAACTGGCCAAGGATAACACAACTGATTATCAAAGGAACAGACTTGGCCGTAGCTCCTCCGGCCCGCGTTTCAGGTCCACGCTACTAGACCAGCGGCTCTTAACCCTGCTCTGCACTAGAATAACCTGGCGACCTTGTAGAAGTACCTAGATGCCAGGGCCCTGCCCCAGCTCAGGAAGTCAGAGTCTGGGCGATTCTTTTGTGCAGCCATGGCTGAAAACTCTGCATTAGATGATGATGCCTCACTTTCATCAGAGCAGCACCCCGAACAGGCATGTCCGCCCCTCCAACCCACAGGTTCTGGAGCTGCTCAGCTTTGGGCTCAGTATAAAGTAACCCTTTGCAAATCAGTTCAACGCTGGCACAAGAAAAGATGCGGAAAATTTTCCTCTAATTTCTCTGCCTTAAAAAAATACCTATAGATATCTCCTTGCCCTAAATAAAAAATTATCAGGAACAAATTAAAACTCGATTAGAGCTTTTATATGTCAGAAAAATGGCCAAGTTATAAAAGCTACACATGTTTATAACGGGCAGCCTAAAAAACACAGAAGAGTATAAAAGAATACAAAAGTCACCTAAAATTCTAATACTTGGAGGGATTTTCTGTTAACAGTTGGTATATTTCACTACCAAATGAAATCTTATTTTTACTTCTATGTATATGTAGAATGTTGTTACAGTTTTCCATCTATTTTTATAATACATGTGATACCATTATGTTATGTTTCTCTTAAATAACATTACATATATCCAGATCATTTCTCTACGTGATAAAATGTTCTTTAAAAATAAGAATTACATGACAGTCTTCTGTCATTAGGCTTTATTGTACTTCATTTAATTGGCTCCCTTTTGTTAGACATTTAGATTGTCTCCTTTTAAATGCAAACAAAACAATGCTGTAATAGGCATTCTTGTACTATATAATAAGCATTCTTGTATATACCTGTATGGACGCTTCTCATTATTTCCTGACCAGAAGCTGAATTACTGAGTCAAAGAATATAAATGTTAGGAAGGCTATCGACGTAAATTACCAAGTCGCCCTTAGTGAAAATTGCTCTCGTTTCTGTCTTGCCCACTAATTAAAACTTACCAATGCTGGCCTATCATGAAGTAATTTATTAATAGTTGGAGAGCAGAATTGATTAGTCGCCAAGGGCTAATTGCAGTTTTCAGAAAGAAAGAAAACCACTCTCACCACCAACAGGAAGCATCTCGATGACTAACAGCCTTTCATCAGTTTTTCCTCCTGCCATTGTCCAGCAACCCCAGGTGGGGCTGGGTAATGACGTCGCTTAGCTTTGCTCAGACATTCAGGGACTCAAGGTACTTCAATTATTTATCGCTGCCCTTTTCAACCACAGAACAGAAAGTTAGAATAGAGGGTTGAACACAGAAGGGTTTTATTAGCTAGACCAGAAAGCGGTGTACCTCACTTCTACTCACACTTTCTGGGCCAGAATTTGTTCCCAAGGCTCCACCTAACCGTGGGAGAAGCAGTGATGTGAGTTAAGCTACGTGTCTAGGAGCAAAGGAAACAAGGTTAGCTGAATACCCAGCAATGGCTCTACCGCAAGGATACTGCGTGAGGCACTGGTGCCCCCTCCAACACCATCTTTGTTGGCCCTTTTCTTTCCGTTCCTGGTGTGAGCAGTTTCTTTCCTGCCCTGTCTTAGAAACTTCTCTCCCAACACACATCTGCTCCTCCTGTAGGACCCCTTCTTTCTGGCATGCAGCTCTCTTGCTAACTCTGCGTTTCATCTGAATGATACGTGCCACCTGTAGTGCTAGCTACTTTCATACAGGGCTTTCCAAGACAGAGGGGCCAACCTGGTCCAGCAATCACCAGATGACAGAGGCAGAGGTGCCAGCCTGCTAGAGAGTGCTGGGGTGGTCCCCCAGCCTGCTGGGAAAGAAACACTCCCACACTTCCAGAGATGCCCAGAAAACCGCTCAGAGAGACCGAGGTTGTCTGAGGTAGAGAGGAGGTGGGAATCTCACTCCCAGCTGCCTGTTGGCTGAGCTGCAAACACTTGTACATCTGCTCCAGGCTGGTGTTGGAGCAGAGCCCAGGAGAGCTCTGGGGAAGTTTGACTCATGTCCCAGGAGTTTAGGGTACATGAAAGCTGGACTTGACTCTTGCCCAGGGGGTGTGAAGGCAAGAGGCTGATGGAGGCTGCCTCAGCAGTGGGGTGAGAAGAGAGGGGCAGTGGAGCAGGGGCAGCCCTACTACAATTTGGCGGAACACAGATGTTTCTGTTCTAATCATGGGAACCAAGTGGGCAACCAGAAATGGTCACAGCTACAGCCAAGAGGTCTGCATGCCAGGAAGAGGGGATCCATCAGGAGGAGGAGATGTGGGCGGGAGGGAGAAGTGACCAAGGGAGGGCAGGAGCTGAGAGGAATCATGAAAGGTGTCAACCATGGAAACATCACTTACACCAGGAATGGAGAGGTAAGTGCCAAGAAAGGTGGGATTGAAGCTGGCACTAATGTCCCAGGAAGGACTGCCTCACTTATCAGATCAATTCCTATGTAAAGATTAGAACAGGCCCTTTCTTATGGGTTTAGAGGAGGGCTAAAATCATATTTCACCGGGGCCCAAACCCACTTCCGTGGTCATGGGGGGATCTCTGCAGAGCCTCTCCAAAACCCAGCCAGTGCACCCCTGAAGCAGCCCATATGTAGACACCCACGTGACAGAGGACACTGGACATCCCTGGGAAAATGAGAAACTTCACTGCTTCTTTAAAGAGACTCCACTTCTTTCCTTCTTAGCTGCTTTCCCCTGCCCCTGACCATGACTGGAGCTGGAGGAGGTTCGGGGAATGAAGGAAGAGTCAAAGAACACACCTTCCTCATCCTTTCCCCACGGGCGCCCACCAAGCCACGGGGCGAGGCTGAGGAGCGAAGATCTTTTAACTGATGAGACACTGGTGTTTGATCTGGAGAGAACACTTACGGACTATTTTAACATCTGAAAGTGACCAGAATACATTAGGATCTGCCAGAGACGTGGGCAAAGAAACGGAGGGGAGTTGCCAGGGACAGGGAAAGAAGTGAAGCTGATTTCTGAGTGTATCATGTTACCAGCACAGTGAAGAGCCAGTTACCCTGGTGTGGGTGGTGACCCCAGGGACGCAGCTAACGGAGGGCGGGGGAGGGAGGACCCTCTGGAGGGAGGCCAGGAGTTACTCCCATGAGATCTGTCCTTTCATTCTTCTTCCACCTCTTCACCACAACCTCTCCTGACTCCAAATGAAGCTGAAGGGGAGAAATCTGCTTTCTATATCTTTCTGATAGCTATCAGCAGAAACTATAGGAAATCAGCTTAAGCAATAGTGAGGGAAACAAGAAGTATTTAGTAAAATCCCCATAACCAGACCTGGGTGTTTCATCAGTGCAGAGGTGGAGTGGTCACCCGAACATTGGCCTTGACCAAACCTACAACACTTGGCAACTAAACATTCTCCTTCCTTCCATCCTTTGGTTGCATCCTGAATAACGGTAACGCTTTTGTGAAAACGGCATCTGATACTATTTTGTTATGTCATCATGGTCACGAGGCAGTGTCATAGTCCTTGTAATAACTAACAGTCATTGAGCATCTGTTCTGGGCAGATGCTTTACACACATTTCCTCATTGTATCAATTAAGATGCTTTCAGTTACAAGGAACAGGAAATACAGATCAAACCGATATCAGATGATTAAAAATCAAAATAATAACAGGAATGTAGGGTTCTTGTAACTAACAGAGCTAAACAGCTTCAGGTAAAGTGTGATCAAGGTGCTGGGTCCTTTTCTCTGCAATTTTTCAGATCTGCTGCCATATGTCTATCAATTTCATGTTAGCAAATATGACTGCAGCAGCTCCAAGCTTCCCAGTTATATACTGCAACTTCTAGAGAGAGGTGGCGGTCTCTTCTATGTGCTTCCTGCTAAGAGATAGAGAGTTCTTTCCCAGAACTACTCAGAACAGCTCCAGAATCACTGGCCTGACTTGAGTCACTTTCGTGACAGAAGCCCCATGGCCAGGAGAATGGGCTGCGCTACTGAACTCGGGCCTGGGTCCTGAACCACTCGCTGTGGCAGGGGGCTTTTCATGAGCTTATTGGGCTGAAACCAACTGAAAGCCCATGTCTAGAAGTGGGACTGGTGTTGATTCCTCCCACTCATACCTCCACGGGCAAGGTTTCTAAAGGATGTGCAAGAATCAATCACAATATCCTATTCTCATGATACATCAGGACAGCCCAGCATCCCGTCATGATACAGTGAAGGAAATCGAGCCTCTAAGAGGCTGACTAACTTTCTCAGCATCATCTAGAGATACAGCTCCACCCCAAGTCTCTCTGAATCTAGGGCCCATGCTCTTTCTGCTGTATCTGGTCACCTGCTCATTAGCCCAGTATTTATGAAACATGTGCATCATATTAGATTTCTGTGTGTGCTACAATGTGTGAGTCCTCTGAGTACTGGTCGAAGAACAGCTCCTCACCTTCCCAGGGCTGTTATCTTGTGACTATAGGACATCATGGCTGGGACCCATGGTGTGATTTTTTTTTTTTAAGCGGGAAAGGAAGTTTTTTTATCAGGGGAGAGAAAAGTCCCATCTGTTGTCTGTGTATGGGGAAAGAAGTATTTATTCATTGCTTTGGAAATTCAGGGAACCATGTCTAACACTGGGAAATCAATGTCCCCTCCTCCCAGCAACTAAAAGTGAGGCGGCTTTCCTTCACTGCACACAGATTAGGCAGAAAAGGAGACATGCTCTGTGGTTGCTGTTGGCAAGCCTGGTGAAATAAAATAAAAGCCCAGAACTCCGGGAGAATCCAGCTATGTTAAAGGAACCCAGAGTGGCTGATGTGATTGTCAGAGAGGCCCTTTGACCCTCCCAGAAGTATATGTAAAAAACAACAAAAGAGCTTGTGAACCTATGTAATTTTATCCAGGATCTGATGCAGTATCTGAGTATAAGTTAGGTTGGCATTTAAAGCCCAAATGGCTTCTCAGCAGAAGTTTTGCTGTGAGCTTTCTTGAATCTTCCTCTTTCATTTCAGAGAGCTCCACTATGTGTGTTCTAGAACTATTTATTAGACCCAGTTGTAAAAGAGAAAATCGGAATGCCTGTTTCTTTGTTTTCTGAGGTGTGCTAAGTGATGGAGTGGAGATCAGCACAGGGAATCTGGAACCCCTCAAATCCTCTTTCTGCTTTTCAGAAATGAACCGGCACCACTACGCCCTGTACGTGCACAACTGCCGCCTTGTCTTCCTCTTGCGCAAGGATTTCGACCAGGCAGACACCTTCCGCCCCGCGGAGTTCCACTGGAAGCTGGACCAGGTATGGCGCTCACAGCGCGCTTGCGCCCTGCTCAGCCGCGTGCGGGGATGGTTGGTTAGTCCAGGGATGGTGGCAGTGGGTAGGCATCTCACGGTTCTGGTTACTTGCTGATTTGGGGGAAAATCAACTCTGGGAAACACACAGCATCTTAAAGTCGGGATGGCAACTGCAGCCTTAAAGACCAGTCGGAGGTGGGGAGGGCCACACTTCCCGGCTAGAACCCGCACCCGGTAGGTGCCAGCGTGTATCTTGTCGACTTTCTCTGCGCAGAGGTCCTGGGAAGCTGATCCTCTCCATCCCCAGGCCCAGTTTCTGATCTTTGTTAGCGCATATTGATGTCATAAACGCTCCGTGTCTCCTCTTTGATGCTCTCTTTGGGAGACGGTGCAGCCTCGCTTTTGGTGACACAGGTTGAGAACAGGGACCTGAGGACTTTGAAGTCATCAGTGACACAGTGCCCTGTGAGCAGTTCATGTTCTTTTCTGAAGTGGGAAAATCTCTGCCTCGCTCCAGGGCCTTCTGACTTGTGATCACAAGGGCCGCTGTGTCGTACTTGTCAATGACAGATGAAGTGTCTGGTTGGAATCAAAAGCTTTGAAGTGTCTGTTTCGGAGGGCTGTGCAGCGCTGAGATTGCGGAGGTGGTACTTCTCTGGGCGGCCATGCCGCTGAAGAAGTGTCAGTGCAGCAAGCCCAGAGTTGGCCTTTGCTTAGATTTGAAGGTGGGGGGCATGCATTTTTGTTCAATGGCTTTACATTGTCAGAAGGGAGGGTGGCAGTCGGCAGGGAAGAGGGTCATCGAGTGGATGCTGCGTAATGAAGGAGATGAAATGATGCTTATTCTACTGCATCTCGTTTTTGCTTTCTTTCTGCCCAACCCATATTCTGGGAGCTTCTGGGGCCCCCAGTCTTCTTTTCTCCCTCCAAACCCCCCTGTGGGTGCCACCTGCCTCATCTTGTCTAGGGCTGAACGTTTCATAATCCTTTCCCTTCTCTTTCCCAATTACCCGTGTCTACCCCACCCTCTCCCTTTTCTACTTAAGCCTCAGACCCCCAGTGGGGCTGATCTCAGAGTGTGTCACTGGGAAGCATGCCAGAAGGAACCCATTTCCACCAAGATGGGTATGATCGCTACCCCGCTTCCTCCATACAGAAGTACTGACATATGCTCTTTAAGACAGAGATTCATTAACCTCAGGAAATGTCTCAATGGTGGAACATCAGGCAGCGTGACAAGGTCAAGGATGCCAGGTTGATGCAAAAGATGTTTGAGAGAGCCCTGTGGCAACTGCCTAGTCCATTCTCAGTAAATCCCATCCTGCTGTACCCCGGGGTTTTGGAAATATGGCATCTGGATTAATATATGTTCCTCTGAATTAGGAATTCTGGGTCTTGCAGAAATGATGCTATCTTGACATTGTTTGACTTCCCGGCAGCCTCTCAACTAACTTCTAAAATGCCATTTGGCTTCTATGGGATGTTTTTATAAATACGTAATATGAATTGAGATAAATTAAAATAAATTCCATATCATGAGGGGTTTCAATAAAAAAAACATTGCTATACTGGCTGAGATCATTATAGATGCCCTGCAGCATTTCCTAAGATGGGATTGAGAAGCACTGATACAGGCAAATGAAGTCACAGGGTTTGGAATTTAAAATAGGTGAGGAACGAATTCTGGTTCTATAGATAAAAAATATAGTGAATTTAGGAATTCTGAAATCTGTTCCCAAAGTGGCGAATTGAAGGAGGGGCTGAGAGTCACTGAATACCTTCCAAACTACTCTGATCTCATTTATTACCATTCATGGGTGCCTGCTCTGTGCTAGGCACGCTGCATGAGTGGCTCATTCTCATCTCTGCCCCAGTCCTGCCAGGTGGATAATATGAGGCAGGAGACCACGGTCCAGTAAACTGCCCAAGGTCACACAGCAAACCATGGTTAGGACCTGCTTTTTCCGTATGTTAGGCTGCCTCTTTGGTGCACTTGCTAATTAAAATTTTAAATGTTTTTATTTTTTAATTTAAAATTAATTTAGAGAGAGGAATTATGCAAATTGCAAAATGTTTATAGTCTTGATGAAACCCTATGAAACTGTCAAATCTTCACTTTGTTCAAGCTCAGTCTTTCTTGTCTTAGCTTGGGCTGCCACAACCAAATACCACAGCCTGGGTGGCTTAAACAGTTCTAGAGGCTGGGAATTCCAAGATCAAGGTGCCAGCCAATTCCATCCCCCCCACCGTGAGGGCCCTCTTTCTGGCTGTAGACAGCAGCCTTCTCACTGTGTCCTCACATGGTGGAGAGAGCTTGGGTACATTTCCTTCTTCTTATAAGGTATGAGCCCTATTGAATTAGGGCCCCATCCTTATGACCTCATTTAACCTTCATTACCTCCTAATGAAGGTTAGGCTCTTTCTCCAAATACAGCTATGTTTGGGGGTTAGGGCTTCAACATATGAATTTTGCAGGGACATAATTCAGTCTATAGTATTCTTCTACTAAACCAATTAATATTTAAAAATGTAACGGCTGCCTATTGATGACCAGAAGCCCCAGCTCACTTGGACAGCTGCTCATGCCCTGAAAGGAGCCACAGTGGGTGGGATATAGGAAACCTCCACCAAACTCATGCTAGCAATCCAGTGGTATATACAGACAAGCCCAGCTTTCTCTGTCCCCTATTTAACTCCCTATGTAGACAGAAACTTACCAGAAGTTTCTTGGAAGTAAATCACTTGATGCCCAAACTGTGTATACCTGATAGAGTATCCTTCCCCAGGAAGCCATCCCAGGTCACCCTGTGAGTAGTTTGCCTCTCCTCTGTGCTCCCCAGACTCTATGCTTCCCAGATTCCCCAATACTTACTCTATCCTAGTGACCCATTTGTCCTTCCTCTCTGCTCACTTGGTGCTGAGATCCTGGTGGGCAGGACTGTGTCTTACTCTCTCCAAATTCTCAGTGCAAATGGTAGCCCTGAGCACACAGTTGGTGCCCAGTAAAAGTTGGCATAATGATGAAGGGATACTGAGATCAAAAGAAAGGAGAAATGGAGTGAGGGAGGGAGAGAGGGAAGAAGAAAAGGAAAATTGAGATCTTTTAAAACCTCCTGGTGATTAATTGATTGTTTGATCCATTTTTATGGAACACTTTAAAATTCTAAAATTTTGCCATTTTTACTCTCTGGGTCTCAAACGTTCGGCTTTGATCTTGATAATATATTATTTCAAAGATCTCACTGACTTTACCACCAGTGGCTCTGTAACTATTACAAAACTTCCTGGCCTTGGCCAGAAAGGGCTCAAGCCAGTCTAATGTATTGTGTGTATTCAAATTCCTGGCCCACCTTAGGGATTCCAAAGCATAATAAATGTTCTACTGCCTGATGGGACCTCATTTATTCGGAGCATAAACTGTGTGCCAGGCTCTGCAGCTAAACTAAAGCCTCTGCTCTCTGGAAGTATCCATGATAATGGGGCAAACAAACACATAAACAGACAGTGTACAATCCTATGTACAGTGCTATGTGATGTGTGCTGGGACAGAAGGCAGAGGGCCAGGTAGGGGGAGTTTGTGGGAACCCATTCCAGGGGCACCTGCCACTGGGAAGGGTGGGAGGGCTCAGAGGTATGGAGCCAGGTAGCTGGCAAGGAATGACTAGGAGGGCCATCTTCAGGGGACTGTAAGCTTTCTGTGTGTCAGGGCACAAGGACGGGGTGGAAGGGGAAGGTGTTGACAGTGTTACGGAACCTGGACTTGGGTCCTCTCTCCTGCATGCAGTAAAGCCAATCTACTGACACAGGTTTTGGTGAAGGAAAACACAGCGTTTATTGCAGGGTGCCAAGAAAGGAGAATGGGCAGCTCATGCTCAAAAGACCCGAACCCCTTGATGGCTTTCAGGGAAGAGTTTTTAAAGGCAGTGTGAGGGAGGGGCCCTCAGCATACATGATCAGCTCGTGCACAGTTCTCAGATTGGTTGGCATCAAGGTGAAGTTTCAAGCATCACCAATCTTCTGGTTTCAACCAGTCTGGGGTCTATGTGCTCTTGGTCAGCAGTTTTCACCTGGTGGGTCTGGTGACTCTGCTATGTGGGTGGTTTATAGTCTCAGCTGTTACCAGTTTCCTGGCCCAACAGCTCTTCTTTGTTTCTACATCTTCACATTCCTAATCATTAACTCTTTTAAGGCAGTCTAATGTTTTGTGTGTTTTTAAATTCCTGGCCCACCTTAGGGATTCTTTTAAGACTCAGGGGAGGCCTGAGAGACGAAAGCAAAAGCCTTTTACTTCAAAAGACAGGGACACAGGGCTTGGGTACAGTTTCAACAGGTGTTAGGACCCCAGTTTGGAGGAGCAGGTGGGAATTTAATGCCAAGAGGCTTTTTATATCATGTTATTGAGTTGGTAATTTATCCCCAAAGAATGGACCACAATCAAAGCATTTTGTTATTCAATAGAAGACTAAGAATTTGAGGGATGCAAATGTGAGGAATGCTAGTATGATGTTCATAAAATGTATCACATTTAAGCAAATGTAACTCAGGCCAGGCCATTCAGTGGGGCCAGTAGCAGGGGTTGTGATAGAATCAGGGTCTTCCACTTCTCTTTCCACAGCCAGGAGATCAATCACATGACAGATGCTACTTGTTGGCATGGAAACCAGGGCGTGATAGGTGGGCGGGCTTCCACATAGCTCTTCAGGTGTGTGCCCAGGGAGTGTGGTAGTTGTCATGGAGGAGCTGAGTGCTTCCAAAAAGCCCACCCCTTTGCCCTACACCTCAGAAGGCCTTTGCCAGGGTATATGGACTGCCAAGTAAATCCATTACCAGGCAACCCCAAGAAATGCCCTGGCAATCCACTGTACCTCTTGAAAAGGGATCATAACGATGAGGAGACTGTCATTTTAATGGGATTTTTACTTATGATCTGCTAATGCAAATCCCTCGAGCCTGCAGTTAGTCATGTGCAAACCCAGACCAGAGCAGAGGAGAAGGCCCAGCTGC